AAATTTTAAATTTTAAATTTTAAATTTTAAATTTTAAATTTTAAATTTTAAATTTTAAATTTTAAATTTTAAATTTTAAATTTTAAATTTTAAATTTTAAATTTTAAATTTTAAATTTTAAATTTTAAATTTTAAATTTTAAATTTTAAATTTTAAATTTTAAATTTTAAATTTTAAATTTTAAATTTTAAATTTAGAATTTCAAATTTTAAACTTTTAAGTTTTAGAGTTTAAATTTTTAAGTTTTAGATATTAGATTTTAATTTTTAAATTTAAAATTTTATATTTTAAATGTTAAATTTTAAATTTATATTTTAAATTTTAAATTTTATTTTAAATTTTCAATTTTAAATTTTCAGTTTTAAGTTTTATTTTAATTTTCAAATTTTAAATTTTAAATTTTAATTTCTTAACTTTAAATTTTATATTTTAAGTCTCTTATTTTATATTTTAATTTTAGAAATTTAAATTTTGAATTCAAAATTTAGGATTTTTAATTTAAATTTTAAAGTTTTGAATTTAAAATTTTATATTTTAAATTTTACTTATTTAAATTTTATATTTCAAGTATTGAATTTTAATTTATATTTTTTTTTGAATTTTTAGTTTTTTTTCCCTTTGTCCCAAATTAAATCGTATTTGGCTAAAATTATTTTTAATTATTTTATATGAAAAATGTTGCATAATTAAAAAAATAAAAACTACAAACTTTAAAAGTATTTCAAAAAATTTACAAATTGAGTGGTGACATAAATATATGATTTTATCAAATGACTAATGAAATAGAGAAATAAGTGACTAAATTTGCCCCTATGAATTGTAAATAGACAATTTAATTTGGTACTCCCTCCGTTTGGAAAAAACACTTCCCATTTGGATTTGGGGCAAAAATAAGAAAGTGTTAAATTATAGTTGATTTTCAATTTTGCCACTGATGTGATAGGTAAAGTAAGATGTGATGGATAGATTATTAGAGAAAAAGTATGATGTGATAGGTAGAGTATGAAAAAGTAAGGGTAAAAATGGTTTTTTAATAGAAAAGGGAAATGTTTTGTTGGAAGTGGAAAAAATGAAAGAAGAAGTGTTTTTGAGAACGGAAGGATTACAAAGGAAACAATATTTATATTTTGGGTTTTTGATTAGTCATAGAAGCCAAATGTAGTAAAAAAAAGTCAAAAGTCAGTCGAAAAGCCATTTTCCGAAGACAACCAAATCTACAAGGCCCGATTTTTGTTATGAACCAGAAAGGCTATGTACCATTTTGACTTGTAGAATTCAAATTGTATACTTCAACTTTTTTTCTTGTTTTATGAAATTTAAAACGTGGAATTGGAACGTTTGAAATTAGAATTCGATTCTAAATCCATATATTTTGTGATACCAAATAGTAAAATTGGAATTGAACTCTCAAATTTCATTGCTTGAATTCCGTGTATCAAACGGAGCTTGGGCTCATTTCCTTTTATTATTGATGTGTAGATGTTACAAACGAAGTGCAGCTTAATACACTAAAGAATTCTGAGCATGCTATCCCCATGGCCAACCTTCTTTTTGTGATTTTCAAAGAGATCTTGCAGCGCTACCACGAAACGATTGTGTACTTCCTCAACCTTTGAATAAGAGAAGACATAAATCACAACATGCAAATTAGAAATGAGAAGAAATAAAATTGCATCGAGAGGATGAAATGGTTCTAAACTACTTCTAATGCTCTAATGAAGTTTGCAAAAATTGTAGTTCAAATGGCTATATGGTTATTTAAAATATACTCCCTCCGTCCCAAAATATTTGCCACACTTGCTTTTTCATCAATTTAATGAAATATTCTGTCTCATAATTTCCTTCTTGGATTTCATTTTAGGTTGTCCCAAGAATTTCTTGTCATTTGACACAATTCTAGTTAATTAAAAAGTATAATAAATTCAATAAAGTCTTTTATAACAAGAGATTTTCCACGTATGATCATCAATTCTGAGATATTATATTCGTGGTTCTCTATATTTAAGAAATATTCCATAATCAATATGAAGTTCCCTGATCAATATGTGCAATGGATTATGTTTTTCATAACAACAACATCTTATTCTATTAATATAAATGGAGACAATGAAGGTTACTTTAAGGGAGATAGAGGGATAAGACAAGGAGATCCCATATCTCCCTTATTGTTTGTGATTGTTATGGAGTACCTGACTAGGGTTTTGGGGAACTATGCTGGCTTGAAAGGATTCAGATACCACCCTAAATGCAAAGAACTCAAAATCACAAGCCTCTGTTTTGCTGATGACCTTATAATTGTATGCAGAGCTGATGTATGTTCTATTAGAAGTGTAATGCAGGCATTAGAACACTTTAGAGAAGCAACAGGACTTTCTATAAATTTGCAGAAATCCCAAATGATCATTGCTGGGCTAAGTCAGAAGGAGAAGCAAAACATTTTCAAGGAGTTTGGAATAAAAGAGGGATCTCTGCCGTTTAAATACCTTGGGTGTCCGATATCAGAATGTGGACTCACAGTGGCTGACTGTGATGTACTGATAGAAAAGATCACTGCCAGAATAACCTCTTGGAAGACCAAGCATCTTTCATACGCAGGAAGAACCAGATTAATCCAATCAGTGCTGTTTGGAATGGTTAATTTCTGGGCCAGAATTTTTGTCATCCCAGGTAGGGTCATGAAGAAAAATGAGGGGCTAGCCAGAAACTACCTGTGGGGCTCTTCTGAAATCTATAAAAGGGTGCCTCTGGTGAATTGGGAAGACACCTGCAAACCTAGTGAATGGGGGGTTAGGGCTACCTAATATTAGGCTTTGGAATAAGGCTATGATCATGGCCCTTAACTGGGATATAGCAAGGAAGAAAGACTGCTTATGGGTTAAATGGGTTCACAGCAGGTACTTAAAGAAGGATGATGATTTCTGGGGCTATAAACCCAGAACTGAAGCATGTAGCTACTGGAAAAAGATGATCAAAATTAGAAGGGACTTTGAAGGAATGCCTTAAACGGAAAGTTACACTAGTGAGAAGGGATACAAATGGCTGTTGGGGCAATCTCCTAAAACTGGTTGGGCCGGGCTGGTTTGGAACAGATTAACCATACCAAAACACCAATTCCTGGTATGGTTAATCATGAAAAATAGACTACAAACTAGGGCGAGGCTAACCAAATTTATGAGCATCTCTACTGACTGTGTTTTATGTGACAAAGGAATTGAAGATACTAAACACTTGTTTGGAGATTGTGCCTTCTACATTGATATATGCAGGAAATTAAAGGAGGAAGGGGGATGCAATCTCACTGACACCAAACTAGAGGATATCTACAGCTATTTCAAGAATCAAGGGCCAAGAAAAGAAAGGGCGAGGAGAATTGCTAACTGGGCAGCAGTATGCTATATGGTATGGAGGGCCAGGAATACGAAAATCCATACAAATAGGAGTCTGGGTATGAGGGAGATAGTAGATTACATCTTATTTGTTACTAAGTGTTATAGTAATAGTAAAGGGAAACAAGTGTAGTAGGATTTAAATCCCTTGAGGAAGGCTGTAAGTCTGTTGGATGTTTTTGTTGGAATAAAATGATGTGCTTGTTTGTAAAAAAAAAAAAAATATTCCATAATCAGGACATTACTTGAACAGGATCTGTTCAATAGGCTGTATTTCCAAAAAAAATCCATCATCAAACTATGCTATATGTGGGAAAGAATACCTAGGAATATTTCCTCCAAAAGATAGATCATGGAATAGTTCTCAAACATAAATGACCACGAACATAATATCTAAGAATTGAAAAAACTATATATGGAAATCTCATGTTATAAAGGGTTCTTTATAGAATTTACTCTAAAAAGTAAGTCAAATCAATTCAAAAATAAAAGTACCAAACGGAGGGAGTATAATTCATAGATAAAGGCAGAAGTGTTATTATTTTCTTTCATTTTGTCTATTAGTTGGCTGATATGTAACAAATGTATCAAACCAAAGAGGAACTTGAGTAGTATGTGGATGGTATGTTACCTCTTCAGTTGAAGGTAGAGGATTGCTCTTGAATTCAATAGGTCTGCCAACCACAACATGCAAGGGTTCTCTAAATGGTATAGGGGATCTGCATGAGAAGCTCAGAGTATTAAAAATTGACCAGAAACTTCATTTAGAGTACGATATAGTAGTGTTTGATTCATGGACGGATTGGGTTCAATCTCCTACTGCAGACCATTCACTTTACACTTGTTGGGTAATGCCAGATGGTTCAATGTAGGGGAGTGAATCCAAATCCAAGATGGATTACCCGAGGACTCCCCAAAAAATAAGTGGCGTGAACTTTATAGCTCTAGAAAACTCCAAATACATTTTGCCGCTGGGTTTCCACCACTTGTATACCTTGGACTGCATTTCCCAAAAAATAAGTGGTGTGAACTTTATAGCTCTTAAGATGGCCATTTTCGATCCCCTTACCATACCCACCACCCTACAAGGTCATTTCATGATTTCATAGGAGTGATAGGTCTTGTAAGGTTTACAATGGTGGGTTTTGGAGAATTTTTGTACGTGTGTGCATATAGCACACACACACACACACACAAAGAAACTACAAGGTAACTAAGAAAAAGAAGCAAAATAACCTGGCCAAAGCAAAATACAGGAACCAAAGGCTTGCCTGTCTCTATAGCAATCCTTACGAATCCTTTTCTTGATTTAAGGAAAGCAATCTGCATAACAGATAATGAGTTCCATGTAAGAAGCAATACTGCAGTAATCAACATTACAAGAGATCACAAACTAGTATTATAACATCATAAATATAGTTTGTTTACCCTTTCTAAGAATAATGTTGCTCTAATAAGATCAAAACAAACCAGATCTTGCAAGACCTCTTTCTTACTGTGTTTCTTTCAAATAATCCCTAATTGGGACTTGTTTTGCCTCGATAAGTACCATCTACATCTACAAAAAAGCATCTCTCTAATACCTTCCCACCCACCCACCAACCCCCCCCCCTCCCCCGGCACTGCACCCATACAGGCATAAAACATTAAGGGGGAAGCAAAAAGTTCTTAGACCCCGTCATATTAACATATATACAGTTCATTGCAGAAAACAAATTTTTAAAGATACAGTTTGATTGATACTAAGGTAGTTTTATCACTTTTAAATTCCTAAATCTATCAATCCCTCCGTCTCATTATTTTTGTCCATCTTTATCTTTTTTTGTTTGTCCCACAATTTTTTATTATATTATATTTAGTACTCTCCCAGTAATTTTATCTCTTCATACCTTTTTTGTTCATCCCAGGAGTATCATACTGGGTAAAGGCTCATATTCAATTTCACTTTTTCACACTTTTTGACATCAATGTCAACCACACAATTACAATTTTCATAATTTACATGACATATTCCCCTGTCCAAAAATAGGGGGACGGTCAGGGTAACAATGGTGTAGCTGAAATTCATTCTTACTTTTCTTACACTTTAACATCAATAATAATTCTATTCCGAAAATAGCAGGCTGATGAGAGTACTACATAACAAACTTTTCTCTTAGAGAAGTGAAGCAATATACATTTATTAAAAAGAAATGAAAAGAAACTTTTTATCAGTTTTTCTCCTCCAGCCCTCTTTGTTAAGGGCTAACAACAGCCTATCCTGTTAAATCCCACAAGTTTGTTTGTGGGTGGGTGTATAGATGATTCATATATAATGCACGAATTGTATTTAATGTAGGCTGTTATAGAGGGTAACATTTACAAAGACAGTACTAATGTAATTGTGGATGTTACTTTTATAGATAGGAAGTTATTCAAGAACAACAATAGATAGAAAGTTGTCACAGAGAGATAAAAGTACATATAAAAAATTTGTTCTGAAAGAAATATGATTGTTATAGTGAATTGTTGTTAAAAAGGATGCTGTTATTAGTACTCCTTCCGTTCTAAAAAAAGACTCCTCATTTTCTTCTTGGGACATCCAGAAAAGATTCCTCTTTCCATTTTTAGAAACTTTTTGTGGAGTAGAATCTTTCTCTCTCTGCAACTTAGGGGTGTTCCGTGTTTGTTCCGTAAAACCGAACCAAACCAAACAAAAATTTCAGTAAAATATTTCCTGTACCGAATACCAAACCATAATGAATCGGCTTGGTTTGGTAAAAACCAAAAAAGTTTGGTTTGGTCATTGGCTTTACCAAAAAACCGAACTCTCTATTGAACAACAAGAAAACAACAAAAAAATGAAACAATGAACAAGTAGAAAAAATCACCCAATTGCACAATGAATACTTAGATAGCATAGATAATAAAAATCAAAGCAAATAGTATTGGAATTACAAGAAAACTAAAAAAACATGCCAGAATACTTAAAAGGACGATTATAGAAAGTCTCAATTACTCCAAACCCCAATATGGCAATTGATAAAATCAAAGTAATACTTTGTATTAGCAAATGAAAAATGATTGATAATTTGACATCTAAAACAAAAACAAATTGATTTGTGGACATAATAATGCAGAGTCACAGACTCCTACAAACCAAGAGAATAATATAGAATGAGAATGATAGCATGAAATGTCCAGGGTAAATAGGTATGTGTCATTGTGTTGAGTAGATATACATTACTTAGGTTTATACTAATTCAGTATTCAGTAAAAACCGAATGCCAATTATATTTTTTATACCGAACCGAAAACCAAAGTTTCTAAAATTTAAAACCGAATAACGAACCAAAATATTTGTCTTGGTTTCGGTACATACAAAACTTCCCGTTTCGGTTTGGTTCAATTTACCGAATTGCGCACACCCCTACTCTACATTAATTTCAACCCCTCATTTTCACTTTTCTTAAACTACGTGCCAAATCCAATTAGGAGTCTTTCTTTGGGCAGGAGGCACTATATTAAATCTAGATTCCTGTTACCAGTTACTCTATGCCTCTATATTCTAGACTCCAGTTAAAATTAAGACCAAAAGAAGGGCAAGGTTCTGTTGACACTGGCTTCTAGTGTCAACGGATGACACTCAGTCATTTGAAGCTCCTCTAGTGTTCCGTTCACAAAATTGATCGTTTCTTCCCCCCACCGCACCCCCCGCCCGACCCACGCACCCTCACCAGAGGTGTTCCAAAAACACAGTGGCACCGCTAGTGGCACCGTTGGCCAGTGTCAACGGAACCGTTCCCCCAAAAGAATAGGGCTTATATAGTTTATCACACTATGACACAAATCAACATTACTGATGGTTTGTACTAAACCTCAGAACCATTGTCCATATAAAATGCTTCTCGAACTCCACCAGGCACTATGATGCAGCTATAGCCTGATGTCAGAAGGGACTTGAAATTATCCCTGGTTGCAGGTGATATTCCCAACCAAGTCCATACTTGCCTCAAAAATGGTGTAATAAATACCTGTCAAATAATTTTTAATGATCAAAAGGTGATAGACAGCATAATTACCAGCATTAGGACTTCTTGCTAAACAGTGGATAGCAAGGCTTACAGCAGTACTAGCGAGGACTTTGACTTTTGGTAGAGGCATGAAACCTGTAAGGTCGGCAAGCGAAACAACTCCAATTGGCAAAACTGAATGCGGTTCATAGCCAAAAACTGAAAGGAAAATGAAAATCCCCGTAAGTTTGCTAGCTCATGCTAAAAATAAACGTATACGCTTTGTCTTTTGTATTTTAAATAATTTCTGAGTGCAACAAAAAGGCCAGAGACTCAGATAGGGATTGCAGAGTAACTTACTATATGCCTGATTAGGATCAAATGCTTTAATGTCTTCAACATACAGATGCACTGGAAAGTAGCCAGAAGCATGCTTGCATATGAACCTGAATTTGAAGGCAGAATTTTCAATATCACAGCATTGAAAATCTCGCAATACACGTATACAAGTAATCATGAAACTGAAGCACTTTAAGAGCTGCAAATCGCAACAACACAATTGAAATCAAACCTCGCTAATCTCCGGCCGTATTTATTTTTCTCATCAATAGGGATCACCGCAAAGATCAGCAACAATCCCAACACACTGAAGCAAATGAAACAAAATTCGAATTCAAACGTTCACAGGAAACGGAACTAGAGTATATACAGAAACAAGAGCGAGTAATACGCCATGGCTTTGGAGGATGAGAGGAAGATGAAGGAAGCTAATACGATGAAGAAGTTCAGGTGGATTGTCCCGAGCCACAGCGCCATCGCGAGTATCGTGTGTAACCAGGTGCCATCTTGGGTCCCGTTGAATTCCGACGGAGTCGGAGGCGGCGGCGCCTCATTTGACGGCGGCGGGGGCTGCTGATGCTGAGCAATTGCGTTCGGTTCATCCATACAGAGTGAATCACTCGGTTCTTTTGCGTGCGTCTTAATTAGGCAGGTGATGAATAGAAAGAGGTTGAAGCAAAATTCTAGTCCATTTTATTCTCTTTCCACCATTTGATTGAGAGGCACAGCAACCTTTCAACCCTTCTAACGCGGTGCCTTTATTACGCCTACTCTGTTCGGTTATCTTTAGTTCCTTTCGTACCCAATCACATACTCTCTCCATCCTAAGGGCCACTTTGGTACTATTTCATTTCTCCGTCTCTAACTATTTGTCCACTTTTAGTGTTTTTTGATCAAAATTGACAACAAATTAAATAATAGTGATATTAAATATTGATTTAAAAATAATTTTATTTGATTCATTTTATTAAATACTTCAAAAATATTGTTTTATACAATTAATATACAATGCATATTTTATTCTATAAAAGGCCAAATATTAAAAATGTTTGAATGCTAAAAGTCAAAACTGGAAAAATACTCAAAGATAAAGATAAGTATGTATGATAAGATATGAGTTTTAAAATTTGAAATAAATGATATGATTTTTTTAATCTGAAATGAAGTTATTAAGGAAGTTTTAAAATCATGAATTAATTACTCATAGGCGGGATGATCGTCAACGAGATGGTTAGCAATGACAATGGTAGCTCGTGGTGGAGAATGATATATATATCTTCTAAACTTGAGAAATATTAAAACTTTCTATTTGGAACATTTATGATATCTTGAGATATCAAACTCGATATCTCTTTTGGCATCACCAAACCAAAAATGAATTTTGATACCTAGAGATATCAAAACATATACTCCCTCCGTTTGCAAAAAGACTTCCTATTTTGACTTGGAGCAAAAATAAGGAAGTGTTAAATTATAGTTGACTTCCAATTTTGTCACTGATGTGATGGGTAAAAGTAAGATGTGAGTGATAGGTAGGGTATGAAAAAGTAAGGGTAAAAGTGGTTTTTTAATAGAAAGTGGAAGTGTTTTGTTGGAAGTGAAAAAAATAAAAGAGAAAGTGTTTTAAAAAAGGGAGGGAGTATCTCTTTTGTTCGCCAAACACACCTTATATTCTTGAATGCTATTTGGAAATTGACAGTTGGCGATGGCTTTTGCATTTGCTAATTTGAATGATTAGTTGAGTTAATTTTTTAACCATCTCATTATATCCTACATATCCTGATCAGATGTGTAGATTTCCTGATACCATTCAAAGGCTTTTCCTGTTTTAAACAAGTGTATAGTTGCTGCAACTTATCTGCGAATTTGTTGTTGAATCTATTATTTTCTTTTCAACCTGCAATTTATTGTTTTGATTTTGGAATCAATTCTCAATTTAGGATTGCTCTCTTTTCCACCTAGGGTTGAAAGTGTTGATATTTTTTCCACCTGCAATTTGTTGTTATGTAGAGCATGTTGAGCAACCACAAGATGGTGATGAGGATGCTGGTGATTTCTTTTCAAGCCTTTTTCGTATGCCCAATTTTGAATAGAGAAGGTAATGAAGATGTTCCCCCCATCATTTTACCAAGGTTTGCAAGGCTCAAGGTTTCATCTCAATCCAGCTCACTCATTGATTACTCTTTATGTTATGGCCTCTTGTTACATGTTTTAAATTAGGATTAGTAAAGAGTAGGTGGTAGGTCTTTTGCTTATTCCTTATCCAGTTACACCCATATAGTACAAGAGTATATATATATATATAGTGCAAAATGCTTAGTGAATAAAATACAAGTTAGTATTGGTACAAGACTACAAGTGTCTCTTATTTTTTTCAATTCATTTGTAGTAAATGAGCATTAATCCTCCATTAGGAATATAAACACCAAAAACTTGTCACTACAAATCAAACTACTATTTCATGAAGTCAACAAATCGGGTACTATTTCCTGATGCTAGATCAAAGAAAATTGGATTATAAGGACATTTATTTTGCTTTCGTACATAGTTCTTATTATTCATTATTGTATATGTAATCTTGTGTTGTCAGCATATTGATGTGATTAAATTGGTGAAAGTAAGGCCCCGTTTGGTAGGTACATGGAATTCAAACTATGGAATTGGAATTGAGGACTTTAATTCCAATTCTGGTGTTTGGTAGCACAAAAATATTTGGAATTGATAGTGCAAAAATAGAATTGGAATGAGGGAATTCAATTCTATGGAATTGAATCTCATGAAATTTCAATTCCAATTCAATTCCAATTCCATCGAAGCACTACTGTGATTTTGTACGAGGAGGAAGAGCTGCACTCAAGTAAATTCATGATTTAAATTTTTCTGTTTTTGATGTGTCTATCTGCTTCCATTAATTACCTTGCCTTTAAAATCCTGACATGCATATGCATTAACATATAATTCGTACTTTATACAAGTGGGTTTGTTTGGTTTGGATATTCAGATATTCTAGAGCTATTTTTTAACACACTTTTCTTGGATCGTTGACAATGATTATTTAATTGCTTTAATGTCTACCTTCATGACTCTTAGCTAAAGCTCTTGCTCCTGTATGCTATAGAGTTGCAGCAAAAGTTTGTTGATTACTAAGTGAACTAAATGTGCTGAGCTAGGCCAGTTTCAAATTATATGTTTAAAATTGTTCCTGATTGAATCTATGAGGTCTTGGTATTAATTTAAATCTTCCATCATGTCTACCCTTACACCATTTATGAATTTGCAATTAGGTTCTTATTTTTTCTTTCCTTATGTGTAAAAATACTTATCCTACTTTGACTATGCTTTCACAAAAAAGTTTGCACAATGCTACTAATTACCAATGATTAAACAACTATAAGAAAATGATTTTAACCTTTTGATTTCCATTGATTGTCACCAATTCGAGTCATAATATCACTGAGCAGATTCTTTAACCAAAAATCAATTGATCTTTTAAAATTGCATTATTTTATCTGAACCCCTTACTTTGATTCATATTTAGTTCACTTACTATTTTCGGATTTGCCATTCAATCCACTCTTCTACCAAGAAAAACACACTACTCATTTTTGAAAAAAGTGTCAGGCACTATTATCCACGCATCGCGTGGAGGAATGCTAGTATGTATAATATGTATATATATATATATATATATATATATATATATATATATATATATATATATATGTATGTATGTATGTATGTATGTATGTGTATATATATATATATACAAATATATATATAGTGGGCTATCTACCTCGGGTGTTAACGGGCCCCGGGGTAGTCGCGAGGTTAACAGGCCTCGGGCCCCCTGCTTGTAACCGACCGTTTATTAATAATAAATTTTATATATATATATATATATATATATATATATATATATATATATATATATATTGGTTCATGTGAGAATGCGATCTTATGAAAGAAATAAGAATGAATCTGGTGCTTTAGATTGTGAGATATAAGGGCCGGGATTGCATCAAAATTAGGTGCATCAAAATGATTTGAAAATGCATCATGTCGAAATGCACCAAAATCCTTTAAAAATGCACTATCTCAAAATCTGAGTGCAAGATGCAATCTGAGCCGCACGATGCATCAGATCCAAAGGCTATATTTTATTCTTGTTTCTTTCACCAAGGTGCATTCTCAACTGAACCGACCCCTATATATATAGGACCACACATGGTGCCTAGATCCATTAAAAGGGAGTAAGCCCAACCTAAAATTAAAACATAAGAAGAATAAAGAAAAGAAGTGTTGGAGTTGTTCGCCCAAAACCATCCTTGTGCCATCTTGTTTATGGAGAACACGAGTGAGTTCAACGAGGGTTTCCCATTATCATAAAGGAACTTATTGTAGAGTTTCCATATAGTCCAGCAGATTAACCCTGACAACAAGAAACAGAGGTCTCCTTTCATGTTTCCTTTATTTGAGGAGAACCACCAGCTAAGCATCACTTGTTGGAGCATGGGGTTTCCCTGCACCATAGGGGCATTAAAACACATTGAGTAAGTTTTCCAGATTGGTGAGATCAGCTTGCAGTTGAAAAAGATATGATGTTAATTCACATTCCCTTCCATGCAGAAGGGACAAGGTGTATTAGTCAAGATACCCATGCGTTGGAGATTATTTGGGAAGGGGAGTACGTTGTTGAAGAAACGCCAACGGAAAATGCTGATTTTGCCCATTTGTCTCTTATCCCCGATGTAGACACAAGTGACTTGTTTAGGCTGATGATCAAAGGTAAGGGAGTAGGCCTTCTTGAAAGTGTATGCTCCAAAGGTCCAATCTGCCCCCGCTGTGGACATTTTGCAATGAGGTAGGATAGTTGGAGTGATTTTACAAATGGATTTCCAAGTGTAAGAATTATAGACCTTAGGGGAGAAAAGACCATCTCTATAGTATTTATGTCTCATGTACTTGCTCCAAAGAGAGTTTCCTTGGACTACTTTCCACCATAGGTCAATGAAAGCTGCGTCTTGGCCATGTGTTAAGTTCCTCAAACCCAGCCCCCCTTCCACCAAGGAAGGGATAACACATCTTATCCCATTTCCTCCAATGGTATTTTGGGCCCTCCTCTTTTTCCCATAGAAAAAGTTTGCCATTAATCTCTTTAGGCTTTTTGTAATGGACTTGGGGAATTTTTGGGCAGCCATTAGGTGCATAGGAATTGAAGATAGCACATTCTTGATAAGAATAAGCCTCCCCATTTGGTTTAACTTTTTACTGTACCAAGCGTTTATCCTTCTCTCAAATTTTCCAATCAAATTCTTGCAGTGGATCTTCTTGAGCTTGCCTTTGACAATGGTAGATCCAGGGTAGTTAAAAGCTTGGGTACTACACTTGATAGAAAGGATTTTCTTGATTTTGTACTGGTGCTACATCTTCATTTTTCCATGTACAATAGCTTGGCTCTTGAGGTAGTTGATTTCTTGCCCTGAAGCATTCATAATAGTGGATAACATTCTTTTCAGTCTTAAAAGGTTTCTGCAATCAGCCTTAGTAAAGAGAATGATGTCATCCGCGTAGAGAAGGTGGCTTGGGGTGGGTGTTCTCCCTGCTGAGAAGTGTGAGATCTGCACCGTGGAGTGGTGATGATTGATGAATCTGGACAGCCCTTCCAAAGCTATGATGAAAAAGTAAAGGGGAGAGTGAATCACCTTGCTTAATCCCACACCTCATGGGGGAAAGCCCTTAGGTTGGCCATTAATTAAAATAGAGAAATGTGTTGCTTTGAGATTTCCCATGAGCAGGTGTATGGTGTCCCAAGAGAAGCCAAACTTGATAAGAATTCCCTCCAAATAAGCCCATGAAAACTTATCAAAAGCTTTGGATAAGTCCAACTAAATAATGCAGTTTCCTCCCCTAGCATTAGCAGAAAGTAGATGCACCATCTCCTTGGCCATCAAGACATATTCAGTAATCTGCTTCCCAGTCTGGAAAGCTGCATGTTCTTGATAGATAAGCTTAGAAAGGATCTGTTTGAGTCTGTCACTCAGGATTCTAGAAATGATTTTACTGAAAAAAGTTAAGCTCTTTTTTCTGGGCAAATTCTTTCGTGGATCTAAGATCTACACTCATTATATGGAAGTACATTTGTAGTATAAAAGAAGTGGATGTTTTCAGAAAAGAAAATATTCACATGTAAGCTCATGAAAAATGTGAGAAGTTTCACATTTTAAATATTGACTTTGGAACCATCTTAGCATCATTCTTTTTTTCTAATCTCGAAGAATAGAGAGATTATCTTTGCAAGCCCGAGATGAAAAAAATAATTTATAAACTATAGTTATGAACATAACAGTTGTAATAACAACAACAATAATAATCACATTTGAAATAGATGGTATTTAGAGTAATTAGTTGGGGAATAGAAAGTATTTAAAGAAAATAAGAATAATTAGAAGAAATGGAAGGAACTAAAAAAACAAAGACCTAGAAGATACTAGAAGAAACTGAAAGTTAAAAGTTTAAGCCTTAAAGAACACACTCGTAATCATTTACTATAATATTTGAGACTCATGTCTCTAAAATGTTGACATGTGTCATCCTACATGGTATGCTTTAAATTGTCATTTCACATTTATGAAAAAATATTTATGATAACTTTTAAAATTTGATGAGTTTAAAGCAATGTATTTTATATTAAAAAAATTATGGTTTTAATTTGATAACTTATTGAAAATTATGTAAACGAAATAAAAATATAAGTTTTTTTAAAAAATAATGGAATCATTCATAAAAAAGAGACTAATAATGATTAATCTGGTCTTCGTTGTCATAAAAACGACAATCATATTAAACGCCTTTTGAGTAAGGTATAATTTTTTTAAAAAAATTATTAATCTATTCTTTTGTATGGAAATTTATTGAGCTAAAATATAGCTCATTTTATATCACCTAATTAAAGATGAAAAGTTTATTAAAGAAAATTAGTTCATTATGGGTCTTAATAATATATTTGATAATATTTAATAAGAAAATTTTTATGGTTTAATGTATTTCATAACTTTTTAATAGTTATAATTTCCTTAAAACTAAAATATTACAGGGAATATAAAAAAACTATCAAGATTTAATTACAAGGACATCAGAGCTATTCTTTTGTGTTTTAAGATATAATAATAATATTGACAGAAAGACAAAATATTTAATTTGTATATTTCTTATATATAAAAAGATTATTAACTTGAAGAGCGCAACATGTGGCATATCTGTGTGGCATATTTTTGATACATAAGCTTAATTCTAATTAATGGGTTGAATAAAAAAATAACTTTTGTTTCTAAAAAGAAATTTTTTCGAAAAGGAAATATAATCTTATAAACTTGAAAAAGAATTTATTTTCTAATTTAATATTCTTTTAACTACACTAACTAAGACAAGAAAAATTATTAAATTAAATTATTAAAAATATATAAAAGCTAACTGAAAAAATTATAAAAATACAACTATGGATAACAAAGTATCATCGTGGTGCCTGTTTGGGAGGTTTTATATTATATGAAATTATTTTTTATTCATTGTATATGCATTTACATGAAAAAATTTCTAACTTCGTACATTTGTTTTAGGAATAATAATAATAATAATAATAGTAGGAGTAGTAGTAGTAGTAGTAATATGGATGGACTCTACATCCATTCACTTTGAGTGGCTTTGGACGACACTAGTTTCAATTGGAGTACCTACAGTGTTCCGTTCACAGAATTGATAGTTCCTACCCTCGACATCCCGAAAAACCCTCCCACTCCGGAGCCAGTGGCTCTAGAACCGTTCTAATAAAAGTATTATTATTATTATTATTATTATTATTATTATTATTATTATTATTATTATTATTATTATTATTTCTATTATTATAGAAATGCATGCAAATAATTTTTAAATCGCTATTGAAAGAAATCAAATGATGTAAGATATAACTAAAAAGAGTAGAGATTGATTTGAAAAAAGTTAGAAAAAGTTACAAGAATTAAATTGGGAGAAACTAGAAAGTGTTGAAGATACTAAAAGAAGTTGGAAAGTAATTGAAAAAGTTGAAAAAATATTAGAAGTTAACAGTGCATTTGATTGTGGGGAAAATATGTGTCTGGACAATTATTCTAGGAGAAAATAAGTTTCACAAAAAATTGTTCTCCTACACATATTTTATTGAAACATTGATTATATTTTAATAAAAAATAAAGATATTTTGTGATAATTTAAAATATTTTAGGGGGCATAATTTAGTTTTTATACATGATCAATTTCAAATATTTTTTTATAGTGCTCCATTCTTTAGGGGGTGGGCGGAGGGAGAGGGTGCTCGGGGGCGGGGGAGGGGGAGAGGATGGGGGTGGGGGGGGTAATGACCTCGACCGAGAAATTAAAGTATCTGAGGATTGAATAAAAAATGAACTATCAAAAAACATACAAAAAATTCTTTTTCTCCTCTTAAAGAAATTATTTTTTCCAAGAAAAATGATTTCTTCCAGTTATGCAACCTAAATGTAAAAGTAGAGTTGTAATCTTTCAAAAAATAATTTTCTTTTAACCAAAGAAAATTTTTATAATCAACAAAAACTTTGTTTGGTCCTATGCGTGACATGGGTTAATATACAAGTACCTTTGAGATTAGAGACTAAACACTAAACATAGCCGAAAATCCAATTACCGTCTGCATCCGAATCCGTTTAAAGAGGAAATATCTGCATCCGTTTTAAATAGATATTATCCGTATCCGATTAAGGATATTCGATTACTAAACGGATACAGATTTGGTAATTGTATATCCGATCCGTTTAAAATCCGATCCGAATATGCATCCGTTTAAATAATTGTTCATCCAAATATCCGACCCGTTATATATAGTTTTTCCTAATTTTTTATTTTTATATTTTGTTTATCTATCGATATTTCAAAATATAAAAATTTTTTATATACAAAATAAATGTGTAGACACATAAAAATATGTACAGACATATAAAAATATGTGTATATGTGTGTTGTGTATATCTTTTTATCATATGAAGTTATCGTAGAATATCATAAATCATGAAAACAAAGAAAATAATTATCCCATACCAAATTATAGTTGATTTAATAATAGTTTGACTTTTATCTAATTTAAAATTAAAGTATTGTTTAATTTGATTTTAAAAATTGGAAGTGGATACGGATATATCCGATATCCGACGGATGCAAATATGGTTTTGATTTTCAGTATCCATCAAGATCCGTATCCGAATTCGATATCCGACAAAAATAAATGGATACGGATTTATTAATGAGACATCTGATCTGATTGATATCCGTTTACAACCCTAGACTGAACAAAAAAACATGAAACCACTCCAAATATGAGACCATTTATATAGAATTGTCAATTTACCACTTTTTACAAGGAGTAGGTAGTATACAACAACAACAACCCAGTTGGATCCCACTACTGTAGGGTCTAGGGAGGGTGTGTGTACGCAGACCTTGCCCCTACTTGGAAGCAGGGAGACTGTTTCCAAGAGACCCCCGGCTCAACCTGCACAAAAAATATGATAGGGTATACAGTATAGCATGGATAAAACACCAAGTACAATGAAAAGAAAGTTCTACAAGCATTAATAGAAGATTCCAATCAAACACAACACACTACAAAAAACCTCTATAGCACCGAGTTCCTAACGAGCTACTCTAATCCTAGTTCTCCAAAGGTTCCTATCTAAAGCCATATCCTCAGTCAGGGTGAGAAGTCCTAAATCCTGTCTAATCACTTCCTCCCAATTCTTCTTAGGTCTACCCCTTCCCCTACTTCCCCCGAAAACCGTAATCCGCTCGCATCTCCGTACAGGGGCGTCAGCATCCCGCCGTCTCACATGACCCAACCATCTCAACCTAGCTTCCCGCAATTTATCTTCCACCGGCGCCATGCCTACCTGACGTCGAATAACTTCGTTCAAAATCCTATCCAACCTTGTCTTCCCACACATCCATCGTAACATCCGCATCTCTGCCGCATGCAGACGACGCACATGAGTCTTCTTAACCGCCCAACACTCTGCCCCATATAACATAGCAGGTCTGACTACGGATCGGTAGAACTTGCCTTTCATCCTGGGTGAAATCTTCGGGTCACACAATACCCCTGAAGCCAACCGCCATTTGGCCCAAGCCACTCCAACACGATGTCCAACATCCCCGTCTAACTCCCCATCAGCCTGGATTACCGAGCCAAGATATCGAAACCTGTCTACCTTAGGTACTAGGTGAGAGTCAATCCTAACTTCCACCTCTGATTCTGTTTCTCTGC